TGAACACCTATTATATACCAGATACTGTGCTGGATACAAACAACTCAGTGACAGTGATGCGTGATGTATAATCATTTTTCACTTTCATGCCCTTGTTGAAGAAGCATAACACCTGGGATGTTTTCTTGCCTGATGTCTCCTTTTAAAAATACTACCCAGCTCAAATTTCAACCCCTTTCAATGAAGACTGCCACAATACCTCCCCTTCTTCCTGAAAGTTATTCTCTCTCACTCTCTCTCTCTTCTGACATTCCCACAAGTTTGGTTATATAGCTTTTATAAAATTTGTTATCTTTTGAATTGTACTTTAGTTATGCATTTGTTTTAACTATGCTGGTAAGTAGGTACCATGACCTCTTACACCACGGTAAAGTAATGTAAAACAGAAGTTTAATAATATTCTGATTCCTGTTGTCATCACTGGAATAAACGCACAAAAAGCTGATCCCCAAAAGCAATTGTCAAAACTGACAACATGTGAAAGGAGCTGTTTTAGGAGTAACACATTTCAGCATTCCAAACTTCTTGGATATGGCAGCATATCTAAGATAACTGTTTCCATGTTACATAAATGTTAAATTACCCCAGTGTTTACATCTTCCAGAAAAATCTTTAAGGGACACTTCCATCAAGAACTAATACCATTATTCTACTCTCTATCTTCATGAGTTCAGTTGCATTAATTTTTAGCTCCCACAAGTAAGTAAGAATGTGTGATGTTTGTCTTTCTTCACCTGGCCTGTTTCACTTAACAAGAAGGATGGTTACCAGAGGCTGGGAAGGGCAGTTAGGGTAGGGAGGGGATGGTTCATGAGTAAACGAAATATAGTTGGATAGAATGAGTAAGATCGAGTATTTGATACTAGCACAATAGGGTGATTACAGCTAATAGTAATTTACTGTATGTTTAAAATAACTAGAAGAGTATAATTGGAAAGAAAGGATAAATGGATACCGCATTTACCCTAATGTTATTATTCATTGTATGTGAGTATAAAAATATCTCGTGAACCCCATAAATATATACATTGTCTATGTACCCATAAAAATGTAAAACAGAATACTCTAATAACATTATATACAAAGAGTATGTATGCATATCTTTGTATTATTTACGTGTATGTGTGTGCACAGAGGAGCATTTTAACACTAGCTCAGTAAAGGCACAAACATTGTATAAAACAATGACTGAAGATAGTTTTCAGTATTACTTATCCATCAACTATTGAATCAAATGAATTTGAGATCTAAGTTAAAGAGTAAACACCAGCACAGAATCTTAATAGAACAACCTAAAAAGAATGGGGTAGAAAATAGAAATCTCTGAATTAAAATTTTCTTGTCATATGAAAATCAGATCAGAATATCCTATACTACATTTCTGAAGAAATTAAATATCTGAAAGCAGATTTAAAAGTTTGTAAACAAGGTCTAAAAGATAATTAATAAAAGCTATTGGCCAGGCATGGTGGCTCATGCCTGTAATCCCAGCACTTTGGGAGGCCAAAGCAGGTGGATAACCTGAGGGTGGGAGTTCAAGACCAGCCTGACCAACAAGGAGGAACCCCCTCTCTTCTAAAAATACAAAATTAGGCAGTCATGCCTGTAATCCCAGCCACTCAGAAGGCTGAGGCAGGAGAATTGCTTGAACCTGAGAGGCAGAGGTTGCGGTGAGTTGAGATTGCGCCATTGCACTCCAGCCTGGGCAACAAGAGCAAAACTCAGTTTCAAATAAAATAAAATGAAATAAAATAAAAGCTAGCAAGTCAAAAAGTGAGCCAATGATATATTACAGGGCTAACGGTATCTTAGGATTCCATACAGAATAACAAGAGATCATGACTTGATGAAAATAAATTTCAAGTGGATGATGGCTTTTACTCTTTAGAAAGCTACAGTTTATTCCCCAAATATTTCTTTTTTATATGAGACTCTTACCATATTCTGCTAAATATGTATGTGTGTGTGTGTATATATACATTTAGCAATGTAAGGCTATTCTTTGCTTCTAAACTTGGATTGCAGTTTTATTTTGTGTAAAAATATAAAAATAGCATATATTTAAAACTTAAAAATGGACACTAGTTTCTTTTAAATGCTTATCTAGTAAAGTTTGTCATTAGCAAAAAAAAAAAAAAAAAAAAGAAAGCTACAATTTAAGAAGCAAACTATCTGTAGGGCACAGTGGCTCATGCCTGTAATCCTAGCACTTTGGGAGGAGAAGGCAGGACAATCATTTGAGGCCAGGAGTTCAAGACCAGCCTGGGCAATATAGTGAGAACTCATCTCTCCAATTTTGGAGTTAGATGGTAGAGTCAGTCCTACAGAAAGATTCAAAGGTATTTGATGACCACAGGGCAATATAATTTGGTTTCTTATGGTTGCAACTAGAATAAAAGTTAAATTCTTCTCATCTCAAATAGTTGCTAAGATGATTGTTAGGAATTAGAGAAACAAAGCTTATATGATGCTGTAACAATATTCATCATTGTTATAATTTATTCACATGGATATAGTTTAAAACGCAATCATAATTCATTTATGATCTTTGTTTCATTTTCTATATTCAGGTTCTATATTTGGTTATATGTAACCAAACTTCTCTGAAAGTTCCGTTCATTTTTATTTTTAAAAAATCCATTGAAAGATTCTCCTTTAACAATTCTCTCCTGTTCCCTTTACTCACCGAATAAAATTTTATGTAATTCTGATAATACAAACACCAAAGCACAGCCAAGCCAATGGAACTTTACTTGCTTTCTTATACACCCTTATTGCCCCTGTCGAGGCATTCTCTCTCCCCACAGGTTTGAGTACAATTTTTGTTTTATTTCCCCTTAAACAGCCAGGGCGGTTTCCTCATTATCTAGGCTCATTTGAAGGTTTCAGGTTTCCCCAGAGATCTTCAGACCAACATGGTTGCACTAAAGCACTAATACTAATGTTTTTGGAACTTGCAATTTGCTTTCTATGTTGTTACTTAACTGACTTGTGAATTGTACAGTATAATGAGGATAAACATTTTCCTAATAAACTTAGAAACCTCTAGGTAGACTGAAAGTACTCTATGTACTACAGTGAGAAGAAAAATATGTTCTTATTTTTAAGTACTTATTCAAACCGTTTGCTAATACAGTTCATTCGGTCTTGGTATAGAAAGTCACATCTGGGATTCCACAGCTGCATTAAGACCTTCTCACTTTCCTTTTTCATCTTTTACAAACAAGTGGTTTAAAGCATTAGCTCAGGACACAGAATTTTAAGTGATTATTGGCAAGGGCACTTATGTATAAATTCTGCGAAAGAAAAGGAAGGAACATGTTCATTTTCCCAGTTAATGACTAGCATTAAAGAGAAAATGGTTTCAAATGTGTAAATCACTTATACAACAGTGTTTTGAGCAATGGGGATGACCAATAAAACATGATATTATCATGAAAGAATGTACGATGGTGCTCATTGTCAGGGTTACTGCTGTTTGTTTAATCACCTTTCAGGACTCTATCAGGACTGATTCACAGTCATCTTGCCTACTGAATCAGTGCTAACCATTCTCTTCAATTAACTCTGAGAAAAGGCAGCAAAATTCAAGTTCATAAACCCATTTGAAAAATATTGTGCTTTACAAAGTCTCATACACATAAATGTTAACAAAAAAGAATTGTCAATGACGATTCCAAATGGAATTTTCCCAGTATTTCTAGGACACAGATGCTATAAGAAATTCATTTTTACTTAGTGAAAATTTCACACAAGAAAATAGTCAATTAGTGACTCTAAAATCTGTACCCTTTAACAGCAGAATTCACAGGACTGTTACAAATTCAAACTGTCCTATCATTGCATAATCACCTCCATGATTGACAAATACCAGTGAATGTGACCTATTTCCTCAAAGAAATATCAATTTTACAGATCTCTGATTAAAGAAGAATGCTACTAAGGCAACCTCAGAACTTCAGAACTATATACATACAACACATTTTTGTGGAGTAAATGGCACAGGAATATTAAATAAATCAAATAATTGCTTATTAATAAAACATTTGCAGATGACCCAAATTCAAGTTTTTAGTAAACATAATTCCCTAATGCCTCCCTGGCCCCAGCTGGGGTTTCTGAACAGTTACTAGATGTATTTTTCTTATCACAGGTATGGCAAGTGTAGAATTAAGTGAGCTGTTATGCCAATTAAAAAATTAGAACATTCAACTTAGCAGGAAAATCTTGAAAGATAAGTTTTGGAATTTTAAACTTAATACCTTAAGAGGATAGCAGATTGTGACATCACACACACATACACACACACACACACACACACACACACACACCACACACGAGAAAAAACTAGCACCAGTCAGGTTGTGGCTGCACACAGCTATCTTTGTTTATCATTGACTAATATCTGGATTGGGTGCTGTTCCCACAGTCTCATATCAGGACAATCATTTAGAAATGAAACAAACCACAGGAAACAAGCAAGGCAGCTCTGCAGCTGCCTGGGATGCATCATCACTGCAAACTTAGCATTAAAGAGTTCTCTAATAACATTCTGAAATACCAACCCACTATGTTGATATCTGGATTTGGGGACGTCCTTATTAGAACTTGATGAACTTCTCCTATGGTTGATGGCAAGACAATATTTAGCATCTTCATCTAAGCCATGTTCCAAAATATAAAAATGTCACAGTAAGACTCCCAGGCTGGGGTGCAGTGGTATGATCTCAGCTCACTGCAACCTCTGCTTCCTGGATTCAAGTGATTCTCCTGCCTCAGCCTCCCAAGTAGCTGGGACTACAGGTGTGCACCACCACACGCAGCTAATCTTTCTTTTTTTAGTAGAGACAAGGTTTCACCATGTTGGCCATGCTGGTCTTGAACTCCTAACAAAGTGACCTGTCTGCCTTGGCCTCCCAAAGTGCTGAGATTACAGGCGTGAGCCACTGCACCCGGCCAAAAGAAAAATTTTGTATTAATGAAATAAGGTAACTACTTACATAATCTGGTAGAGGAACATCATTAGAACTCAGCGAACCTCTCAAGGACTGTGTGGCTTGTTCCAGAACTTTGTTGTGCTTTTTAGACAGCAAAGAAAATAAACTGGAAAAACAAACAAAAAACCAATTATATTAAAGGAACTGTTTTCTTTTCTAGGTCTTATATGGAATTATATAGTCCCACAGCATGTCAATTATTCTAAAATATACTTGTAAATAATTCTTTCTTCATGCCTATGTTAACAGCAAGATTAACAATACTATTTATATAAGGAAAAAAAAAGGAGGAGGATGCTTAAATTGTAAGAGTTCTAAAAAATTGTTTTTAATGACAGTTTAAAATTAAGTTTCAAACACGGGAGAATTTTTCATAAGATTACTATAGGGAAAAGAATAGTGGAGAAAACGTGAAATATAGACTATGACTAACTCATAGTGTAATCTACTACAAGTCACTTGAGCTTGTGTACCTTCTCACCTTCCAAAAAAGTGCATTGGAAATTGTTTCTCTGTCATAATATAGAGTCTATGGTTCTGTATTATAGTTTTTTTTGAGACAAGAGTCTCACTGCAACCTCTGCCTCCCGGGTTCAAGCAATTCTCCTGCCTCAGCCTCCTGAGTAACTGGGAATACAGGCGCATGCCACCAAGCCCAGCTGATTTTTGTATTTTTTTAGTAGTGACGGGGTTTCACCATGTTGGCCAGGATGGTCTCTATCTCTTGACCTCGTGATCTGCTCACCTAGGCCTTGCAAAGTGCTGGGATTTCAGGCGTGAGCCACTGCACCTGGCTATAGCTTTATTTCTAAAAAATAATGACTTGAAATGTTTTATAAGATTTCTGTTCTGGCCATGATGGATCAACCAACACTGGACTAACTCTCCTGCTATCACTAACTAAAAACTAAAAGAAATATCAGGCTGGGCATGGTGGCTCACGCCTGTAATCCCAGCACTTTGGGTGGCTGAGGCAGGTGGATCATGAGGTCAGGAGTTCGAGACCATCCTGGCCAGCATGGTCAAATGCTGTCTCTACTAAAAAAAATAAAATACAAAAATTAGCTGGAAGTTGTGGCACATGCCTGTAGTCCCAGCTACTCGGGAGGCTGAGGCAGGAGAATTGCTTGAACCTGGGAGGCAGAGGTTGTAGTGAGCTGAGATCACCTCATTGCACGCCAGCCTGAGACAGAGTGAGACTCTGTCTCAAAAAAAAAAAAAAGAAACAACTGTTTTTAGATGTTGTACAACATCTGAAGTAAAGGATTATAATCCCTAACAGAAGGGAGATAAACATGAGCCCCATAATGATAAGTTCTGTCTCAAGGAACATTGCGGACTACAGTCCAAGAAGGTGGGACCCAAAGAGTACACAGAAGAGTACACAGAATTACTGGGCTGAGCTGAGAAGATAGAAAGAAGAATTTAACACTGCTGTGGCAACTGCATTTTGCAAGGCAGAATACTAGAGAGGAGAGAATTTCCAGAAAGCAGATCCAGAAATCCAAGTGTTTTCTTGAATGTTTGGGTAAATGGTAAGCTGTATTGTGCACAGCAAGACTCCACAAAGTGTGGCAGTAAACAACTATCCAGGAGCTGTAAACTAAATATAGATTTTGGGGATCGTACCAAACTAAGGGACACGGGAGCTCCAACTAGCCGGGAGACAAAACTCGTTGAACATGAACGTTCAGTTGAATTCTTAGAAAGGCCATGCTTTAGGAGTCAAGCTATTCTACTCTAGAGCACAGATTACCTTATTCTAAGAGGTACCCTGATACAGCAAAACAAACAATCTTCAAAGAATACAACTGATTTACATTAACTATAAGTGCACTAAACTCCAGTTAAATGGCACAGATTTCCAGACTGGATAAAAAAGCAAGACCCAGGGCCGGGCACAGTGGCTCAAGCCTGTAATCCCAGCATTTTGGGAGGCCGAGGCGGGTGGATCACGAGGTCAAGAGATCGAGACCATCTTGGTCAATATGGTGAAACCCCGTCTCTACTAAAAATACAAAAAATTAGCTGGGCGTGGTGGCACGTGCCTGTAATCCCAGCTACTAGGGAGGCTGAGGCAGCAGAATTGCCTGAACCCAGGAGGCAGAGGTTGCAGTGAGCCAAGATCACGCCATTGCACTCCAGCCTGGGTAACAAGAGCGAAACTCCGTCTCAAAAAAAAAAAAAGCAAGAACTAACCATGTGCTATTTGAGAGAGACATACTTGTAAATTTAAAGATACAGATAAGTTCACAAAAGGATACAAAAAAGACATCCTATAGAAACATTAATCATAAGGAAGTTGGAGTGGCCATATTAATTTCAGACAAGGTAGGCTTCAGAACAATATTATTATTACTAGAGATAAAGAGAGAGATTTTATAATGATCAAAGTCAGTTTACCATGAAAACACAACAATACTAAATATGTATGTGCCTAATAAAAGAACTTCAGAGATATATATTGTAACTATGTGATACCAATATGACATTTATTATATTTAATAAAGAAAGAATTCTTTGGGGTAGATGGCAACTTAAAAATAAAGGCAATTCTGATTCCATGTACTTCTCATAAAAATCAGAAGTATGGCCCACAGTACTGTTTTTCAAGCCAAAACTTCACTGTAGTATTCAGTAATCCCCTTACAAAGAAAATATTTATTTAAATATCAATTTAGGAAAATCTGTAATTATTTCAGATGGTTTAAAAAGGATATCCACAGGCTACTAAGTAGTCTTTCTAGATTAAGTTTCAACCAATATCATCAAGGAAAAAAAATTCCTTAAACATTTATTGGTAATGTTAGATGTTGCCCAAAACAAACAACAGAGGCAATGAACATTATTTAAGTTTATACTTAAATAAAGTGAGAAGAAAAATAATTACATGAAATAATTACTGAATGAATAAGTATGAAATCATATGATACTGGTTACATGCTGAGGATATATCTGACAGAACCATTTCGCTGAATGAAATACTCCAGTGAAGTTTCATGAAGGTCAGTTTAGGCCCTACACGATGTCTTGAAAAAGAAGGAAGAGTTATTTGTGTAAGAGCAAATGAAAGGCACTTCCAAATAGAAGGCAAAGCATGAGGCAAAAGTAGGAGAGAGCAAGAACATTGGAATGGAGGTACTATACGGGAAAGAGGAAACAGGATTCAGTACATAAGGGCGCATACATTTTTTTAATCATTTTATTTTTCTGGGTCTTCTCCATTTGAGATTTAGTTTTGCTTTCGCTTTCCTTTTTAACAGTAAACACCATACCTTCCACTCACCATTATTCCCATGAATCACTGATAACTAATATGAACAGTTTATTGTGTATGATTCCAGAAATGTTATATACATCAAGACATGTAAACAAATGCATACTGTATCCATATATACCTATCTCCATCTTTTTTATTCCATGAAATATGTAGTATGCTGGATCTTGCACTTTGTCCATCTAACAGTATATTCCTTCATTCATTCAACAAACACTTGAGTGCCTGTTACTTGATATCAAAAGGATATGGATATGCCATAATTTATTTAGTCCATTATTAATCAGTCAATGCAACTGTTTCCAAATTTTTATATTATAAGCAGCATTGTAATGAATACCCTTGTGAATAATTTTTAGCATGCCTGAGTGAGACTACCTTTAACATATTGCCTGAAGCAAAACTGCTGAGTAAGACTGAACGTAATACTGAACTGCATTAGAAGGTCCATATTTTCAAGTATGCAAATTATTTTACAGGACATGCAAAATAAAGGTTAAAAAATTGAGATTTTGTATAAGACATGTTCACATAGAAATGCATATAGCAGGAAATCAATAATATGCTTCTAACTGGTTGCAGTATATTTTCTGGAATAAATGGAATTTCAAAAGTTTTTTGAGACTAAAAGAAATTTGGGTAGTTGATTCTTGCACAAGGTGTGGCAAGACTCAAAAACGTAAATTGGCTACCAAACAAAGAAAGGAAAGCAATACACATGCCTGAAAGAAGTGATCTTCTTGGTGTTAGGAAGAAGAAATGGTACAAGTGAAGCACAGCAGCATACTTTGCAGAGTTGAAGAAAAAATAAGAACTCGAGAGGTACTTCATGAGTTCAGCAAACCTGGGATGTTCATTCTCACATTCCGTGTGTGTGCGTGTGTGCGTATGCCCCCTATTAGTGCACCATCAGAGAATAATAAAGGTGACCTATAGTAACTTTCATCATCAATTTAAGAAAATTATTAAACAGTCCTAGGGACCAGAGTAAAAAACACTTAAAACTGTTTCCTTTGGAGAAGAAAGGCTAGTTTATTTACTTATTTTAAAAGAGTATGAACACTCTATTTTGCTTGCTAGTAGGACACCAAACAAGGAAGTGAGCTTCAATTCAAACATGAGATCTTTTGGTTGAGCGTAATGGAAAATTTCACTACTAAGGACATAAAATGTTGAAATGGTATACCCCAAGAAGCTGTGGATACTGCTTCCAGCTATCTCTAAGAAATTTTGTATAAGAACAGATCATTTGAGGTCACATTCAGCTCTCCATCAAAGAGAAATAGAACTCACACTTACTTTGTCACTATCATACAATTTAACAGGCATTTTACTAAAATCATATAGCAAGTGCTTTCAAAGTTTTATTTAAACATTCTAATAAACATTCTAATTTTATTTAGCATTTTTAAGGCAAAATGTATATAAGACACGAGTTGCAAACTGCCAAGTGAAAAGAGTGACTTTTGCTTAAAGCTTTGCAAAGTACTTATCCCCTAGCTTAATGCTAATTAGAGTAAGTAATAAAGACATATGATGTTTATATGTAAATGGATACATTTTATTATTTTTTTGAGACAGAATCTTACTCTGTCACCCAGGCTGGAGTGCAGTGGCGCAATCTCAGCCCACTGCCACCTCAACCTCCCAGGTTCAAGCAATTCTCCTGTCTCAGCCTCCCAAGTAGCTGGAACTAAAGGCGTATGCCACCACATCTGGCTAATTTTTTATTTTTAGTAGAGACGGGGTTTCACCATGTTGGCTAGGCTGGTTTCGAACCCCTGACCTCAGGTGATCCGCCTGCCTCAGCCTCCCAAAGTGCTGCGATT